CAAACATCAAACATAACTAACTCACCAGTATATCACACTCAAACAACAAACATTACTAACTCACCAGTATTTACACTCAAACATCAAACATAACTAACTCACCAGTATATCACACTTACACATCAAACATAACTAACTCACCAGTATATCACACTCAAACATCAAATATAACTAGCTCACCAGTATATCACACTTAAACATCAAACATAACTAACTCACCAGTATATCATACTTAAACATCAAACATAACTAGCTTACCAGTATATCACTCTCAAACATCAAACATAACTAACTCACCAGTATATCACACTTAAACATCAAACATAACTAACTCACCAGTATATTCCACTCAAACATCAAACATAACGAATCACCAGTATATCACACTCAAACATCAAACATAACTAGCTCACCAGTATATCACACTTAAACACATCAAACATAACTAACTTACTAACCAGTATATCACACTCAAACATCAAACATAACTTCAATACATAGAATCACACATATGTACATCATGCATGTCCAATTTGAAGTCTTGTATTTAGAAATATGTGTATACGTTCACACAAGCTGTTACATTTCCCCCGGAAGCCACAAGTTATTCAGTGACTTCTGTTTCCGGTAGAAGTTCATCAAATCGTTAACGTTGTGTTTAACTTACCTAAGGTGACGATCTCCCACAGCACGATTCCAAAGGACCACCTACATAGAACAGATGTATAGAACAGTTAGGGCTAACTGTAAACATCAATGTTACCAGGGATAAATTCGTGGCTTTAATTAGAATTGATTTATTGTTTACCCGAACTTACCTACTTAGTTTACTGTTGTGAAGATTTATAGCAATAGATTGCTTTTCTTATTCAAACTGTTTTATATGATATTATTATGATGCAGTAATAACAATCTAATTAAAATTATATCTTCACATCGCTCCCGTTTACTGATATGTCGCGTTGAAGATCTAACAACATCCCGTGGAGGGTCATGTTCAGGCGACCTTTGCATTAACCAATCAGATGAGAGCTTACGCATTTCTGTAAGTGATGATGTAATGATTTCGGAACACACTTGCTATGATAAAAGACCGAGAGGTGTCAAATGAGCATCGAAAATGGCGGCGCCCATGACACCACGCCGTGTCTATCTACAAGACAACGTTTGTACAATTTGTGGATTTTGCTTTGAAATAAGAGAGACTTCCTCTTCTGGT